AAAAATGATAAACTCGATACTCTGTTGAGCTGAACTCTTCACCAGGCACAATTCATAAAATAAATAATTTATTTAAATTACAAATTAATTTATTATATTAATATTAATTTTCAATTCAGAAAATTTTGTTCAAAAATATACCAAAGAATGTAATAGATACTTTTCACATTTCTTAATATTTTCACACATAAACTCCCCAAGTTGGATATAGTCACTAAAGCGATATTTACTGAGAAGAGTAGAATAGGGTCAGATGCATTTTGGATCATTTGCTTTGTCAATTTCGAAAAGGTATCTTTAATGATTTCCTCTTCATTCTCCTCTTCTTTTAATACTAATTTTATAGCACTTCTTGAGGCATCTCGACGACCTATAACTCTTATAGACAAAGTAAAACTATGACACCTACTTGAATTGAATCCTTATCTAATCGCATAGAAAGTACATTCGATGACATTTTTAGATCTATTTTACTAAATTGAATTTGGAATTTAAATGTACATGTTTTAAAAGAGAAGCGTTTGAGTAGAGATTCCTTTCTTAGCTATTTGGACTGTGATATAGCTTTATGTCATGGTTGTTTTTATATATATATATATATATATATATCTCGTCAAACAAATATTATAAAGACAAAACAAAGTACTTTCTGTCAACAAACAAATCTCCTAAACATCTTGTGATACACGTCACTGTTGACAATTATAAGTTCTAAGTTGTAAAAGACTTTGTTCATTTAGGAACCAGCGTAAACACCATTCTCTGGACATGAAACATGTTCTTCATGTTTAAGCTTCACTTAAATAATAATGTTCGACGTGAATAGTGTTAATTTAAGCGGTTAATTAATAATGTATGTAATAATAGTGTAAATTCAACAGAGGACTAATATTTCTGAAGTGAAGTTTCTACAAAACTTATAAAACTATTGGCTTGCTTTAATACTATTTTTCTAATAATTTATTGTTTTAATGACCAAAATTTTATTCAATATTTTTTCTTTCCTGCAATAAAACTGTTTATTATTAATATAAAAATATCATTTTATTAAGAGATGTTGTTTTTTTATTCACTTTTTTTTATTTTATCAAAAAAATTATAATAATAGTACAATTTTTATTAAAATTATTTCTATATTAAAAATCTAATAAATTGCAGTAAAATCTATCCTACTTAAATTAGAATTCAAGTTCGTTACTTAAGTCTTTTGATTGAAATGAATTGTTATCACCTTTTCTGTAAATAGTGCTAACAAAAGATCAAATTGAAATGTATTCATTTATATTATTTTTACATAGATATAATATAGATATCTTTAACAACGTTTTCTATTCCTTAACTCTATTTATTAATTATTTATACTAAAGAAATCTAGGAACATATTCAAATAACTACAATATAAAGACTACTGAGTTTGTTTCACAAAATTAGATAGAAAATATAATTATTTTCGTCTGCTCTTAAACTTTATTGAAGAAAATAATAATTTCAAACTTAATTGATTATTAATTCATTAAACATCCTAATTATGACTTATAGTTTCTTTAGACAAATACAATATCGTATGCAATAATGCAATTTAAAACACAAATTGATAGGTTTTGATATAAAGTTAATGAAATATAACTTCAGTAAGAATGTAAAAATTTTGATTAAGCCATAATTAGTAATATCATTTGGATCTCATTACAACTCTATTATGTTAGTTTTGTAATCTATGAACTATATTTATCTGCACATTATCTATTACAATTATTATTATCTATTACATTACAAAAGTCAATTAAGTTATGAATTGTACTCTAATAAATTTGTACTTATAGACTTTTTTATGTATGCCCTGTAGTGGATAACATTTTTAATTGCATATTAATTTATCATAAATTTTTTGATGAGCTCTTAATTTTCGTAGGTAAACACGTTAAAATTGCTATGTCAAAATATTATTACTTAATTAAAAAATAGTTTTTTTTTTGTAATTTTGAAATCTATTTTTTGAAATTAGGAAAGGAAAATTTGTTTCATTTTATTTTGTCAAATCACATATATGCTGTAAAAATTTTTAATCTGATAAATCTGTCTGTATGATAAATTGTTGTTATCCAATAAATATATCGTAATGAGATTTCCTGACACTATTGCAATCCAATTATTATTAACAATCTTAGAATGTAAATGTGACTCGAAACATATCATACACAATTTAACATATAAAGATTTGTCTATTTTGAGGTTCCGAAGAGGAATGTAAATGAGAAGCACTGGCGATGAAGAGTTCAATAAGATTTTTATTTTAATCTATTATTCAAACTTTTGTCATTGCCATTAGATGAAAAACACAATATCATTCAAATGTCCTTAATGGGACATCTAACAGTATTGGATCCTTTTGAGGTGATTCTCTGTAGCTTGTCGACACAAAACTTACAAGCTACATAGCTGAGAAGCTGATATTTCGAATCATTGGAAACATGATTCGAAAGAGAAAAAATGCAAACCGTATTTGAACATAATTTGTTGCTATACACTGAGCTGATTTATGTTAAATGACAAAACATTTTCGTACTTCTAATTAGAATGTTAACACAGAATTGCATTAAATAGAATTTATTATTATTTATTAATTAATTCTTATAAAACATTATCTTTTACATTTATTAATGTTTTGTTAATAATTTAATTAAAGTCAGACGAACTACGGAACAAAATAATCTATATTTGATGAGGCGAAATGCGACCGGCACCGTATACTATAATGAATGCATTACATTAATGTAAATACAAAATAAATGAAGTAATTATAATTTATTATTTTAATGATCAAATATTTTTAATAATAATTTTGTTTTTTAATGGGTTAATTGGTCAGTAGTTATATTGGTGCGCTGTCAGTAGGTTAAGGTGTGCTGACTCTGACCTTCAAAATTGGCTGGACACGACGAGTTCGATTCCTGGTACTTGCAGTTTCTAAAAATTATTTACGAATAATTAAATACAAGAATTACATATTTCCAAGACTACTGATGATGGGTATTTGACAATACTTGAAGCAGCCAAAGATTAATTTAATTAAAATAATATAAAATGAATTTTTGTTGTTGTAGTTCACTGCTGTTCGAAAAACCTCTTTATAATGTAACACTATATTTATGTTATTATTTATATTAAAATTTATCCATAAATTTATATTTATGAAATTTATCCATAAATTTAAACAAAAATGTGTAAAAATAAAATGAATTTAATTATAATTATAACTACATATATATTAATGATTTACTTAAATTTTTTAGAATTAAAAAAAATTATAAAGAATTAAAAATAATTAACAATAAAAACAATAAAAAAGCTAAATCAATTTATTTAAAATAAAATATTTATTGACATAAATGAAACTAAATTACAATTAATTTAAAATAAAATGAATTTAATTGTAATGAAAACTACATATATATTAATCACTTACTTAAATTTATAGAATTAAAAAAACAGATTATAAAGAATTGAAAATAATTAACAATAAAAACATTAAAAAGCTAAATAAATTTAGTTAAAATAAAATATTTAGTGACATAAATAAAATTAAATTAAAACTAATTAAAACGATATAAATTTAATTATAAATATAAAAATTAATTAAATTTCTCCTTGCTCACCCCTTGCTCCTTTCCGCACAATATTCGCCAGCCCGTTTTGTACGTGCAATAATTATTTCACCACATTTTTTATCGCAAATAACCAATAAGACGCATTGATTTCGATCAATACAAACAAATACTTTTACAAATATTTTCGCTGTAGCCTATAAATAACGGTTAAATGTGTAAATATCGCAAGTAAAATCAGAAAAAAAAAGCAAAAAAAAATAAATAAATAAACCAAAAGGAATTCAAAAATGCCAGAAGAAATTTTTCTCAACCAATAGCCATCCAAACCAAAAGAGTAAAAACACAAAATAACAAAACCCAAAAACAAAAAACAAGAAAATTAATAACAAACAAACAAGTTTGAAGCGCTGCCAACAACATGTATGACGTTCAAAAGCACAGTTAGTGGTTGCAAAGCAAACAACAACAGCCTGCTATTAACAGACTCTGTACGCTGTACGCTGTGCGCTGTGATCCGGCTCGGCTGGTGGTGGTGGTGGTTCGTTGCTTTAATTTTTTTGTGTGTGCCATTAGTGTTCGCATCCGATAGATGTGAGCATTAACGAAAACATATGATACACTAGAGACTAACATTTTTATGACAACATTCAGCATCATAATGATGTTGGCGATGATCGCGCTTATAATCGTTATGAGCACCATTGTTGGCGAAGATCATTCGCGCAGCACAGATACAATTTTTTTAGACATTGCGCTGCCGCGTTGTTCAGTCGTGAACTGACGCTCCTTGCTGTAAAACATCATCGCAACGCATAGCTTTTCGTTCGTGCGATTTTTGTTCCGATTTTCGTTTGGTTTTTGTCGTGTGTGTTTCGCGTTGCGATTTTTTACAGCCGCTGTAAGTTTTGATGTGTCTTTTATTATTTAAATTAAAGCGGTTAATTCAAACGTCGCGTGTTTAGCTCAATACACAATATAAATCGCTTATTGCCATGTTGCTGCTGCTGCTGTTGTTGTTGTTTTTGTTGTCATTGCTGTTTTTTTAAGTACAATATCGCGTTAAACTTTAGCTGTAATAATTGTGAATTTGAATTAGAAGACGGCTTAAAGTCTTCTTCTAGAAGAACACAGATGAGCGAATGTGTGGCATTTAATGGTAAAGAACTGAAGTTACCATGGAACCAGATGTGTGTCATTGAAATAAAAACAACATCAAATCTTTAAAAAAAAAACAAAACAAAAAAAAAAAATTTTTTTTATAAAAATAAACAGATGTGTAATAAAATATGAATTTAATTTGCGATAAATGATTTTAATGAAATTTTATTAAATTTAATATTTTTAATTCTGTAAATTGAAGTGAATCTGAGTGGTGAGTTAAGAAAACCAAAACATAAAAAAAATAAATCAAAGATTCGTTTTGATAAAAATTGAATACTCCAAAATTAGAAAACAAAGAACAAGCATAATACACTATATGTAAACGACATAGTTAATCCGAGTACCAACAAAGGTGAGTTCAGTGAGTTCAATGATATCACTAACGTATTTGATAAACAATATCTCAATATTCTTTAATTATTATTGATTAAAAGTAATTTCTTAAACACAATAGAGTACCATTAAGTGATTCTCACGAATAATTAAAGTACTTTGAAAAAATAATTTTTAATAATTGGTTAATTTTATATATATCATAAAATATCAACTGAAATTTTTAAACTCAAATCCTTAATATTTAGTTAATATTTGGTGTGTAATATTTATTTTTCACAACAGAATTAGAACATTTTTTAAACTTATTTTTCATAGTTCTTTAACATTTGGTTAGTTTTGAAAAATTACGTTTAAAATAATCACAACCTATAGTCTATGCTATTTGATTTTAATTCATTCATTTATATTAGAAAACTTCTGAACCAGCACTGAGCACTTTTATTTATTTATATTCTTTATATATAACATCCAACTTTGATACAGGTTTAAATAGTTTATTATAGTGTTCTACATGATATTAAATTATTTGCCTATTTATCACATATTGGCATTTAAGTCGTTGTATGAGCTTAAGTAATCGATTCATGTCGGTGCTCATTAACTCTGACTTAGATAAATGAATGCATTAATACAATTTAAGATTAAGTTTCCTATTTAATACCATTTCAATTAAGCAATACAATAAATAAATAAGTTTCCGTATCAACGGACTGGTTTGAACTTAAAGTTCTTCGCTTAAATTTTTCATTTTAAAGCGTTGCCAGTCAATTGAAATACTTAATTCCGCATTAAAGATCAAAATCAGTCATAACTCATTTGTTTGCCAACTATTTTAATATCATTGAAAAGTAATAAATATATTTAACATATTTATTATTAAATACATTAATTAACGTATCTAACTTAAATGTTTTTCAGAAAGTCTATGTGGTATATATCAGTCTATATGATGTACATTATCGATAGAAACTACACTTATATTAATGTATTGAATATTGCAATAAATGTCAAAAATTTTTGAACTTAATTAATTAAATTAATTTCTTAGTGATTAAAAGAATTTAATATTTTGCCTTTAATATTAAGAATTGGTTTAATATTAATATTAAATCGTTTATATAAAGAGATTCACTGCCACATACTTAAGTTTACAAATGCTTTATTAATTTTAATGTTAATGTACTTAAAAGGTGTGATTGAGAAATATTCAGCATTCTCTAATTATAGAGGTCTTAAGAATAATTGTTTATCACATTTCCGAATAATAAGTTCAAAATTTGTAATACAAAACATCACAAGAAACCCACTTCAAGTTGCATGGCGTAGTATTGCGAATAAATAACTTCTTAATAAGACGTGGACTTCGGTGTATTATAAAGCCATAGTAATTTAAAAAAAATGTTTTTTTCATATTTTTCTTATTGTATCATATACCTCCTTAAGCTCTAAAAGGAAATTAATGAGTTGTTGTGGTGTAGAGAACTCTGGACTCAGAAATGTAGTTCTATTAACAATATTTACCATCTAGAACACTACATGTGACAGTTCCATAGGTGTTCTTTGGACAGAATATCATATACATATATTTTATATATGAAAGACCCATAGGTGACCTATGAAGTATCTGTCGTAAACTGACGTTTATAGTCATATTTTTTAATTAAATTGTCATCAAATTTTAAGATTATTTTTCAGATCATGATATTCTTCTTTGTTATTACGCATAAATTATGTTTTTATAAACTATTTCAAGTTATTGATAGATCACTTTAATCTTAATAACGTTCTGAATACTTGAACGTAAAAAAAAAAATTTTTAATTTAGTACATTATAATGAGCTCTTTTCATTATTTACATCATTGTTGTTCTAAACTAACCAGGTTAAATACGTAGATTTACTGTTTGCGCCTTACTTTTGTTAGCCATAAAATACTACTCCATGTGCGAAGAGTACTGACAATATATATATAGAACACAGTATATAAATCACATATATCACAAGTGGTAAGTTATCCACTAGAACTATCGAGCTTCAATTGAAATTCTGATGCAAATAAAAGAATTGCTTTCCGATTGATTTAGTACATAAATCGAAATTGCTAAATTCCGTTAATAGTTTATATATGGAATAAGCTCTAATAAGAATTTTTACCCATATACTATATATAAGTTGTCATAAAAAGACGCTGTTCGTTTATTAGATGCTTCAGACTTTCTTCAACTATTAGACTTTTAAGGTGATCTCTTAGATCTGCTATAGGAACAGTCTACGATATCATTAGTCTGTTTGGTCTGTTCTGTCTACGATATCACTACAGACCAATATTTGCAAAAGGTTACTACTCTAACCTTATGGAAATGAACCTTTACTTAAAAATAGTTGTGGTATATAAGTGGCAATGAATATCTTTAACAGAATATATTGTATATAATCAATAGTATCTTACAAAAAAATTTTTTTGGTGGAGGAGGAGGAAACCATTAAAACGCACAAACGTAATCTAAAAACTTTTTGTTTTTTCTTCCTTTTTATTTTCTTTGCTTACTTGTTTGTCTTAATATTGTGTCTTATTTCTCCTTCTTCTCTGTTGTATTCCTTAATTAAAAAGTAAGGAAAAAATATAAATAAGGCAAAATTTAATGATAATAACAACAATAAAATATAATTAATTAAGTTTGACGCTAAATGTTCAAGTCATTCTCTTATATCAAATATCGACTATTCGGTTGGTTTTAATGGTACACACATCACTCTCAAATATATCGCACTCTTTCAATAGATCTCCCTTTTCTACGAATTTACCATTCTACTAAATCCGACTAGGATGTGGGTTGTAAGACATTTAAACATGTAATGCATTAAGTTATATGTTAAAATATCTTACAACATATGATGTATCGCCAGCAATTATAACATGCGCCAGTATTTAGATTGCAATATAGGTTCATATATAAAATATACGTTTTACTCGCAAATATCACTTTAAATTTTTTGGCATCACGGAAAATTTACTCTCGGGATCTTATGACCTATGTTAGTATGTTACGTACAATGTATTAAATTAATGGTCCTTAAAAGGTTCTATATATATTTACTTTTTCCGAATGTGTGTTGAATATATGATCGAGTATTAAAATAAATATAAATGCAAATTTGTAGTACACAATAATGTGATTAATTCCCATTCTATATGGATAATACTATACCTTAAACTTTAAAAACAGTTGCACTATTCTTGAACACAAATCCTGAATATTTTTGAATATATGTATATACTAAATTGATTTTTAATGTCTGTTTTGACAAAAGAAACTAAATTCTTAATATAAACTATTGCTTTCAGTAAGAAAGTTTTCGAACAATGATGAATTGCAACAACAAAATTTTATTATTTTTAATCATGGTTTAGGTTTAATTATGTATGGTTTAGGCTAACCATGCAGCTGTTTTGAGTATTGCCAAATACCCATCATCACTGATCTGGGAACTATTTTTTATATTTAATTATTCTTAAATAATTTTTTGATATTGCAAGTAAATTTTATCCATATAAACAATCGCATCTATAGTAACTTTAATATTGGTAACACCATTAATAGATAAGATAAACGTATATTGTATTTCAAATTATGTTTGAAGCGATATCAGCCAAGAAAGAGAAACCAGAGTTTGTTATAAAATGATAGTAGATAATATAAGGAGAAGAAATTTAATTTATTGCATTAAATTATAAATTCTTTATAAATGAATTATAAATTTATTATAAGTTATTATACTATGATGCGACATTTTATCCGGAATTGCGATAATTCATACCTTTTGGAAAATTAAAAGGTGTTACACAAACCGTCAAATTTCTTTGTTAAATCGACTTGACGAAATGATGCGAAAAATTTTTCAACTTTAAACTTAAGATATAAAACAAATATGATATTAATCGGAAATTTCTGTTTTAACTTTTTTGCATAAACAAATTCCTTGATATTTAATAACAAATCTTGGTAATGTGAATTGGCCACAGAGATCATACAGTTTATTACTACGGGGTCATATTTATAGGAACAGTCATAAAACTCATCAAACGGTGAGAGATATTGAAAAACCTCCGTCAAGTTGAGGTCCAGTAATTGTCAGCTTTTTGTTAATAAATCATCAAAAACTTTCTCAAAAAACTGTGGTGTAACAAAATATCTTATGTAGAACAATTAACTGAGGTTGTAGTTCATTTTTAATAGTAAGGTCTAAACTATATATTAGAATTAAAGTCGCAATCGCAAATGTTTTTTATTTGCGTTTATCTTTTAACACAGAACCAAAGATCCAGAACCATGGATAGCCCTGTATATATATCGGGGAGACGATATATATGTATTTGTAAATGCGCTCAATTTGATTACAATTTTATATTCGTTTTCTCATTAAGATTATTTTTATTAACTAATATATTTTTAGTTTATTATTAGTAAATTAAATAATTATACGTTTGTTCTATATGGATAATTAAAAAAACTATAAATGAAATCATATTCAATGAATATATAAGTTAAAATTTGTTAAGTTGTTATATATTGAATTAAACTTCAGGTTTAACTTATGCAAACACAATTTTCATTATTTATTTCTAAGAAATTATTTTAAATATTTATAATAAATTTATATTGATAAACAAGACCTCTAATACAAATGTAAATAACTTATAGCTTAATGACTAATACTTGAGCACATTATATACTGCAGTACTAATTAAAATAATAGTTAGTATGATGTTATACATAATAATAATATATATAAGTATGGTGTGTTAGTGCACTTAAATTCACTTGCTCATCTTTATTTAAATTTATTAATAAAATTGTTAGCACTGACATTGCCCGTAAGAACTTTTTAATAAACCATTTGCAAATTATAGTTGAAACATCTCATGAGTTTGTATCTAGATGATGTATCTGGAAACCAGTTTGTTATATTCTCATCTTATATTGATTTTAGTTAGCAAGTGTGATTGTATAGTAGA